CGTGGTAAACATAAAGTCGGTAGGAGAGGGTGGAGAGTCTATGGAGAGAGTGGGAGGAGAACGACAGGATAAAAGAAGCACTGCCCTAAAGAAGAAAATTGAAACGCTTTCAAAACGTTGGCGAAGCCAATTTTTAAATATAAGTGTAACTTTAAATCATGTTAATATTTCCAACAAACCCTATACGAACCTCATCCAATTTATAATTAATTGTCATTTAGAGTTAAAGACAAAAACAAAGCACACGCCTAATTAAAAACTAATACTTTTTAATCCAATTTAAAACTGGAAAATTAATTCGTTTTTAAAGACATTTTAAGTTGAGTAACTAATCGCATTGTAAAAACCGAAACTCATATTCACAGGTAATTCCCTGCATCTTCAAATTGATAAACGTATAAATTGTTCGTTGAAAAACACTAACAGGCAATCGGCATCTTCGGAGAAATGTATTAGAAGTACTTGTTACGAAGAAAACGATGACATTAATTATTTTAAAAAGCAAGTCAATAGTTATCTCAGAAACTTGGATAAGTATATGGAAGACATTAGACCCACTAACTCGAGCAAACGAAATAGTAACATAAATATTTATATTATATTATTAAAGTTATCTTTATTAACCTTAAAATATGATACTATGTGAAAAACATAAGTAGATTGTATTTAAAAATATTATTTGTTTTTATTACTGTTAAAGCTATGGATATTTCATTTTCTATCCTATTGTATGGAAAGTCGATTTGTTTTTCAGGGTACGACAGAGGAAAATTGTTACACAAGTTTGATATGTTCAAAGATTACTTTTACAAAAGAGATATTCAATTTGACCACAATGCGACCAAGTCTATGTCTTAGGATAATAGAAGTTCTCCTAGTTCACATGTGTATATAATTTGGTGACATTGAGTACAACTAAAAAATTAATTAATATCGCTGGTGTCAACCTAGATTAATTTAGTTAAAATTAAAATTATTTTTGAAGTGAATTATTACTATAGGTTTTAATTTTATCTTTAAGCTAAGCTATTTTTTATATAACAAAATAAGAAACTAAATAAAAAAAGTGAGACATTCACTTTTTTTAGTTTTTCTTTCTTCGAAATTACTTAAATAATATAATAAATAAATAACAGTTAAGCCTAAATACGAAGCATGAATATTTGCCAAAGGTAACTAAAATATAGGACAAATACAGGATGGATACTTATCCAACGGACCCAACTCTCAAGGGTAGGCTTGTCAGACAGCTTAACAGTTCATCATAATTTTGATATTCAATTTATGTTCTTGAACCACTTAAAAGATAGCTAAAGAAATTATGGATGACTCGCATTATCACAATTCGTATCTTAAAAGTTAAATAATTTAATAAAAAAATTAGATTTCCTCTTTCGCAAACTAAACTTTGTCAACACTTTGGATGTGACTTACGAATAAATTTCACAAAGAACAAATTAAAATTAGGTAATGTTCATTTGCGTCATTGATAAGCAAAATATAGAAGTAAACGTTGTATGATCAAAGTTATTACTAGTTTTTAACATTTCTTATATCTTTAGAGTTACATTTTCTTCATCAATATGGTGTGTAAATTGAAATAAAAATTATGATAAATATTTGTATTAAATAATAGCGTATCTACTTCTTATTATTTAAAAATAATATTGTTATGAATTGCGTAAAACTGAGTAAAATATTACGCCAATGTATTATTATGGAAACAATTGAGTATTTATTTTAATTAAAAAAAAAAAAAAGATTAGCTTGGATCTTTGATATGTGCATTTTTTTTATTCTAGACTTATTTTTTATGTACATGTTATTTTTCTTGTATTTTATGATAATTTTTGCCACCTGTGACCGAAGAGGGTAAGTATAACTTAAATATAAAACTCTTACTTAGTAAATAGGCTTATAAATAATTAATACGACAAAACTACAGCGTTTATAATATAATGACTAGAATTCGCTTCTCACTTGTTTTTTTTCGATGGATCTTTCAAACGTTCAGACTGAAAGTTAATACAAAATAATTAATTTACAGTTAATTCATTTTTAAAACAATTTCTATCTCTAAAAAACTTATGATTTTGAATCCAGTCTATTATAAAATGTATACACTGTAACTTTGGTAGTCAAAGTGTTAGGCTATATATATATTTGATTTTATTATGATATAAATAATAATAATAATTTTAGTATTAAACTCGGAGTGGATTTTTTACAAGAACAATTTGTTTTTACATTTTAAGTTAGCACATCAATTATAAAATTGCTCGTGTTATTATATTCTATAACATTATTATAGTTAAAAATTTAACAATAATTGTTTAAAACTGGTTGTTGACCAGTGATTTTTAATTTAATTTCATCGGCTAAATACAATATACAGTGTCAATTAAAGTGTTAAGGTTCACTTACCAAAAGATTCAAAATAAAAAAGAGATACAATTGAAGTGTTTAATAATTCTGTTTATCATCTTTAAAAGTCTCGTCTGAGTTAAAAATGTACAACATAATATGCATGTACAGCGTTGAAGGCTAAGAGGTGTCAACACTGTATTATTTGCTCTGAAATAATGTCCTAATGGTTTATAAAAACATTTATTAATTATATTTTTCGAGATTGAACAATAGCGTTGGTGAGTAATTTTTTGTTTTATTTTAAAGTATAGAGTATAACAGCGACACAGTAATTATTACCTATACTCATAAAGAAATGTAATTTGTTGCACTTGAAAACATTTCTTAAGCATTTCAATCGTGTGTATTAAGAAAAGGTATATGAAAATATTGTTTTAACTTAATAGTATGTTAATTAAATGTGACGTGTGCTCAGTCCTTTTAAGGAAATAATTTTAAGGTACACATTTTAAAGGAGTGTTACAAAAAGGCTGTAATCTTAAAATTATCGTTTTTGTAGTTTCAACGTAAACTTATTATACTTACGTAATACAAAGAACATTTTAAGTTTATTGATTTCATTGCTTAATATTTTGTTATTCTTATTTTTATTATTATAACTTTTAATACATTTCAAACGCTTTAATTTTTAAGAAAATAGGTAATGACAAATGTTATTAAGAAGTACTAAAAAAGGAAGACATCATAAACACATGATTTATATTCGATATCTAAAAACTAAACTACTAAAAAAAACCTAACATTATTTTAACTTACGAGACAGCTATTGTTTTAAATGTAGTCAACCAACCAAATTTTAAGTCTCGGTTTGAACATTGTTTTCACTTCGCACTAGCCTTAATACACTTTTTCTGAGCACATGTCATAATTATATTTTATATTTAAAACATTTACCAAATTTTAAAAATTTCACAATACTTGTATGATTTTGACCAATGTATCTTGGTAGATAATCGGTACTTTATTGTAATAATTTATGTAACAAAGTATTATTTCATAACTATTACCCGAGAGATTACAGTGGTTGTTGTAATTGCAAGAACTCGTTTTTTTATCAAATAACTTTATGAGATCCCTCGAGATTTAAAACAAAATGTCGTTTACCTATCCTTAAATGCGAAAAGATGATTTATTTTAAAAAGTTACTTAATTTTTGATGATAATAATTTAATGCGACTTTATTTAATGTGAGATTAAATAATTTGATCATATGTTTTATATATATATACATATAATTTATTTGATGTATTATTTAATAATAATCATATGCATTTTCACATTCGCATCCACGAAAAGGGTACATCAAACAACATTATTAACACTTTTTCTTTAGTCTTTCCCTCAAAACGCAATTGTATCGTTAATGACTTTTTCTCGTTTGAGGTGCTAAGGAAACAAGTTATGGTAAAAGCACCGAATCGATTTCTTCAATTCAATTCGTTTACAAATTTGCGTGGGATATTCTTCAGGTGAAGTACTCCCGAGTTCCGATTTACGGTGAAACTAATAAAAATATCATATAAATCCTTTCACTCAGAAGGGGCCGAAACTTTTTCTTTATTTCACTTTTTTAGGGGTAGTTTTAGGTCTGAAAATTGAGAAAAATCGTACTTTTTTTATCGAGGACAACCCAAACAAATCAAACAGCGCGGTTAAACACATTTATCATATACATTACATATTTGTTAAATTATTTATTTAAATTACCTTCCAATACATAAAAAAGGACGTATGTTCTATAGCAAAGTTGGAACGCCAGGAGAAATTTAAACTAAACTCGGTACACATAAGACTCACGTTCTGGAAAAAAATATTGTGAAAGTAAGTCATCACTAGCACACCTGGGGTTGAAGGTGGGACATAAGAATAATCGTAAACGACCGATATTTGTGTTGAATCGATATTATTGTGTTTAAATAGTGTTTCGGGGTCGCTAAGTTGATCGATGTCATTTAAACTCATAGGATAGGGTGGAGAGGTAGGTATGGTGACATGTAAAAATAATCGTACATGACAATTATTATAGTGTACAGAGTGTATAGATTTCGTGGTAGCAAAATCCGGTCAACTCGGCTAGTCGTCTACAAAGAGATGAAAATCTCTTTGTAGCCGAGCTTATATAGTTTTTGCCGTTCATAGTTTTTAGCGTCGAAGCGATTCTCTATTACAGTGATCAAATCAATTTCAGTAAAATAAAATCATCTTTTGGATTTCCGTGACTTCCCCCGCCCCATTGCGAGGGGGTTTTTTCCCAAGTCTATGCAAATCAATGTAGTGCATTTCGTATAGGGTAACGGGCAACGGCCATTGGCCAAACATGTACCTTAAGCCCGCCGGCGATTTTCTAAGCGCATTGGAACCAAGGAACAGGATACCACACGGGGAAGGTACGCGAGGGGGATACGCGGTGTCGGCGGGCAGACCGTTGCGACCGTTGCGCCGACGCTTATTACCCTTTGGGATTGCCTTTTTTTCGCCGTTTTTACATTCCATGCCGTCGCAGCGCTGTGCCGCCGCCGCCGCCACCGCCACCGCCAACGACGCCTTATTCAGCGATTCAGTGCGAGAGCTCAGCTCGCATCCGCCCGCACGCGTGAGTCCACCATCGGATAGGCGGCGTTTGGACGATTCTGATAATATTTTTTATCAAACCGTTTTTTGGTTTAATTTTATCTTATTTTTTTTTTTTGTTATCGCCTTACCATCATCACGCGATGCCGTAGAAAACACTGCGATCGGTGAGTCAAAGGTTTTATTAATTTTTTTTTAATATAACACAATTTTTTTTTTACCATCGAAGATGAAATGTGTATACACACGTATGGTATCAATAATCATTTTATATTTGCATATATTTTCCGTTGTTTGTTCGCTGCCGCACTGCCGGTACACGTGGTGCGGCGAACAACGCAATGCGGAACAGTGGACGCCCTATTAGCTGAACTGCGGGTAACAAAACCAGCCCGGGCTTTTTCATTACTTGCTCAATAGCTTAATCGTTTTTCTTTTATATATTTTAAAATAGAGGCCTAAATGCAAAAGTACAACATTATAAATCATACAAACGCACAAAAATAAAACGTCCACGACAATTGTTTGCTTAGAATATTACGTCGGCGCTTAATTCTTACTAATCTATTAATGGTGTACTTATATTTTACTACTAATTATTATATATATATATATATATATATATGTTATAAAAGTGAACAAAGATTGTTCAAGTACTAAATTAACAACAATAGCTAGTTGCTTACATGCTATAGGGTAGAGAGGGATAGCCTTAATAATGTATAATCTATTATCTATGAGTACAATGTACATATGTCTACAATGTGTAGTTTAAATATTTCGCTATCTTTTAATTAATTACACGACATATTATTACGACATTTCGGCAAGTAAAACATTTTTTCAGAAAATTCACTTTTCTGGGTACTGAGCAGAACAATACATTGTCACTAGGGATCAAGTTATAGATCTTTAAATTAGTAAAATTTTTCAAAATTTTAAATCTTCCTTGCCAAAAATATTATTGAAAAATTATACAACAAAAAATACCCAACCTTAGAGTTATTTATGTATTCGATTTGTGACAACTGACACTGTTATATTTTCTATTATTCAGTCTGTAACGTTAGTAATGGAAATAATAGAATTTTAATTTATTTACTCTTAGATTGTGGGCTGGGGAGGTTGTTTACATTTTTCAACATCTGTCCAAGACACCAAAAAATCAGCAATTGTCAATTCTGGTAATATCCAAAAGACTCGTGTACTTATATTTCAGTAGTTTGATGTGGAAAATTGATTTTCTCATCTTTCACACGTGATGAACTAAGTATAAATATTGGTGTGTGTGTGTGTGTATATTGGCGAGGGGATGATATAGTATATACTACGTGTTTATAGTATTATTACTTCGGACGTGGGTCGCAAGATTCGACGGGACGCGCGGGTAAAGTTCAAAATAAATTATTAATCGTTAAAACGGACAATATAAAATGGATGTGTTGGCGAAGAAAGTGAGAATAGATAAATTTTTAAAACATAAAATATCATTCAAAATGAAATGTGATGTGTACTTTTTTAGAGATATTTTAACGATAGAAAATAAAGTACACGTGAGTATGGTAGTTGCCACTATAAATGTTTCTTGAGTTATTAGCATTAACTTTTTAACCCGCACAATAAGTGAAGTGTCAACTACATTTGAGTTAACTACTAAATTAAATTACAAACCATTGCTTCCTCTAATACCTTATCTGAACTGCAATAGCTAGGCTAACTCCATTTTGAGTGGTGATTCAAGATCAAAAAACAATTATTTATCCCATTTACTACAGTTGACGTGAAAACATGCTTTTTGTAAGTAATAGTTTGATTTTACTGTTTTTTTTGCATCAAAATTATCTAGTTTTTTCATGATAATATTTTGTACTAAGTATATTGCATTATATAATTATGAATTTTCAAAATATTGATCTTGTTTTATACTGTCATTGCTTTATTAACTTATCAAACAAATGATGACGTACAATAAATGCCCCACGAAGTTTTGACCTTTGTAATATCTCCAAGGGAAACTAAATATTTGTAATTCTGTTATTGTATATAATTCGTAAATTGAACCAATCTAGTAATTTGATAAGACTATCGCGATAATACTGTAAAACGATAATAACATATAGGGTGAAGGAAGGTATTTTCGTGGCATAAGCAATTTCGTGATATAGTTTGTTGATCGTATTGCGTAATTCCCTATTAGAAAATTATCTTGAAAATCACACTGATTGTTAAAATAACTGTGTTTTAACAATCAGTGTGATTTTCAAGTCAATTTTCTAATAGGGAATTACGCGATACGATCAACAAACTATATCACGAAATTGCTTATGTCACGAAAATACCTTCCTTCATCCTATTGCAAGTTGAAACTAAAACTAGTTATGATTGTAGAGAAGGTTTAACTTGTTATTAAAGCACGTGTCGTTTTGTGGAAGGGTGAGTGATGAAATTAGCGAGGTATCAGGTATCCTTTGGCATAAAATATACATGGTTGAAAATTAGTTTTGGACATTTTTAGTTAATAAATTTGAGATTAAGAAACGTTAGTGCGTTTTTTAGTAGATTTAAGTGTCAATTAATGCTCTAAAACTATTATGTAACAAGCAAAACGGTTTTGTCTGGCTTGGTGTAAGTAAGAACAATCTTATTATGTTCGATATGATAATCTGATAAACACATTAATTGCCAATAAATAATTCACAATGCTGTATACTTAAGCTTGGGCTCAAATTAAGATTTGGCGAAACATGTCTATAACTACCCAACTCCTAAATAAACAGGGGTGTAGTGTTCTCTTAAATTGAATTATAACAAAACAGTACAATCCCAACTAGAATAATAACTGTTGATAAGACATGTCTCTTAAGTTTACCTATGTTATCAAATAAATTTAATATCGTGGACGTGACTTACGTTCACGATCTGGTAAATCCCTCTGTGTTATTTAGGCTTTTTGAGCCTATGATATATATTATATTTATTTAATATCTCTGGTCTATCGTTTTAAACCCTTGTTACGCTGCTGTGACGGCTGACACGGACCCCGGCGGGTTCAACAAATACGTCGAATAGTTTTTGGAAGTTGGTCAGAAAGTTAAGAGGTATTTTTTTTTTTTTACGGAGAGCACCGGAGAGAGTGAAGTGTAATTGTCGACAGGAAATGAAGACGCATAGTCTGTGAAAACGTTGAATAATTTATCGAAATATGACTTGAACACCTTACGCCGTCATTCGGGACTGTCCAGGTTGACATATATACAGGATGATCAATTTAACGAAAACACCTTCAGTTTCTCATAAAATAATATTTTTTCTTTTGGAAAATATTTTTATTTATGTTATCTTACAATATTATAAAATTACTTTATCTGTTCTAGTATAGATAAAGCTCTATAAACTTTTTAAAATTAATAGTAACGTACACGAATTGAATTAACTTTTTATATTAAGAATAATTTGCCGACAATTTTAACCGGTCGACAACCAGTTTTGGATAATTACTTTTAAAGTTCCTTAAGTTCACATTTAAAGACGGGAGAAAGGGTGGAATTTAATTTTTATCCGCGCGCATTGCTGTACCGCACTCCTACTCCAGTTCCAAATTTTAAACTACAGTTACTCTAAAAGTAATTATTCAAAACTGGTTATGGAAAACCAGTAAACATTTTCAAATAATCATTCTTAATAGATGTACAAGTTTATATATACGTATGACCATTCAAGTTTTAAAGGTTGTTTAAGCTCTGGAAAAAAAACCAAATATCCGAATATTGTAAAATAGCATGTAATAAAAGTGTCGCCAAAAATAAATACTACAAAATCGCTATTATTCTAAAAGAAAATATAAGTCATACGTTATATTGATCACCCGGTACATACATATTTACGATAAGGTATATGTGTATGTTTTCATTTCTGGTCACGGCGCTATAGCTTTTTCGCTCGACACATTTCCTTCGCCCCATGCACTTACACATTTACACTATTAAACGTATAAGGCGTGCATTGTCTCTGGCATACATGAAAATAAAAACATTCGACCCCCTCGCCGCGTCAGGAAATGTGGGTACAACATCATACGCACAAGAGAAATATATTTTGCGTTATAATAATAATAATTATTATTCTGTTTTATTACCACATTAATTATTGTAAACTCCAACGAGCGTTTGCGGTCTTACAACGTTGGTTTTGGATTTGTAATGCGAAAACCACAACAGCAAACAACGAAGGACCGAGGGTGGTGGTTTTTTTTTAAACATTTTAATCTGTTTTTGAACACGACGAAAATTAAAAATCTACCACTCCTAATGTCTCTATACGTCCTAATGTGTTTTCAATGTTCACACTTGCACCGGGACGGGATTTTAAATCTTTTCGGTCTTTGTTTAAGTATAAAAACAAAAAAAAAACAATCCGATAAAAAATACTCATTTCACAGTTGGGTCCCTAAGTACCAAAGATGATTTAACCGTTGACGAATTAATTATGAATTACAAACAAATTATAAGTAAACGTGAAATGTAGGTACAATTATCATTTTCGACATATATAAATTTATAGAAATCGCTTGTTATTATTAATTATTGTTGTCTAACCGTTTTATACTAATTATACATTTCACCTATGGTGGAAAAAATTCACCATTTATCAATAATCATACTTAAATCAAATGTTCTCGCGTCAATTATTAACTTTCATACCCAATTGGAAAAAAATATAATAGTTATCTAATTTATTAAAAATCAAAGTGTTGTAATAACTGAGATACAACTTAATTCTTCTTTTACTATTTTGTCTGTTTTTTTCCTATATTCAAAATTATAAATATATTTCATTTGAACAAAAAGCTTATTTAAATGTACTGCGAATATTTTGTATTATACAATTATTTTAATTTATTTTATTTTTGTAATTATGCTGCAAAAATTATCTTGTTAAACGCATTTAACAATTATTTGCGATTTTGATTAAAAGCTAAAAAAATAATAGATTTTAATTATTTATTTTATTTTAGCGAGAACAAAAATTGGGAGGAGTATCATCATTTTAGTTTCAGACTGTACATGAGTATACAAGTTTCAGATATAAGACTTTATTCTGTTAGATTAAATATGTATACAAAAAAAACATCGCAGTAGTAAAATGTACTCCGTAAATTAAATTATGC